GGCTCAAGAGTACCTATCGCTTAGGCAAGCGATAGAGTCGGTGATAGAGATCACCAGGATGTTCCATGAGATATCGTTATATTTTCCACATCATGCTTCCTCAAAGATGGTGTAGATAACCCAGTACTTGAGTATGCTTAAGAAGGATATCATATAATTTGTGAAGAACACCCACTATTGTACATTGGCTGAGCCGTAGTCTAATGCCAAGAAGAGGGTGATCGAATTGGAGACCGCATGGGGTGATTAGATACAATACCTGGAATTTAGCAACATGAATCCCTCGGAGTTTGATGGGACTAAGGATATGATCGATGTGATGAGGTAGATTTCTGATGTTGAGGGATGCTTCTATACTTATTTGTATCCAGAGGACCTGAAGCTTTGATTTGCACTGAACCTTCTTCGCTTAGGAGTGAAGGACTAGTGGAAGTTTGTGACTACTGGGTACTCTCCTGTGGAGTGGGCCACAGTGACATGGGAGCGGTTTTTTGAGATGTCCTGGGATAAGTATGTTCCTTTAGTGAAGAGAAAAGTGGTTGGATCAGGAGTACCTATTTCTCAGGCAAGCGATAGAGTCGGTGACCGAGATCACCAGGATGTTCCATCAGAGATTCTTATATTTTCCACAGTATGCTTCCTCAAAGCTGGTGCGGATGATCTAGTACTTGAGTATGCTTCAGAAGGATATCATAGAGTTTGTGACGAACACCTACTATTGTACATTGGCAGAGCAATAGTCTAATACCATGAAAAGGGAGATTAAGTTGGAGACTCAGGAAAGAGAGGGTGAGATGGAGAGACAGAGGAGGGAAAAGAGGCTTATCCCAATGCCGCCACAATCGACAACTAAGTGGTTCAAACCTATAGATTCGAGATTAAGAGGTCAGAGGGGCCTTACTTGTAGCAAGTGCGGTAAAGGTCATGAGGGGCCATGTCAGGCAGGGTCAGTTTGTTATATGTATGGCAAGGAGGGGTATTTTGCAAAGGATTAGCCAAAGGGTTTTCGTGTTTTCTTCAAATGCAATTAGACATACAATATAAAGGCCGATAGCTCATTTCTTACCTTGAGATCAGTTCAGACTCTGGATTCTGCGACTTTGCGCATCATCGATAGACTTGGGGGGAAGGATGATGCCCTAAAGGCCCGATGCCAAGTTTTCCAGTTGACAACAGAGGAGGCAAAGGCAACGCCACCTGTCATTACTGATATGTATTCATTTATTTTTCTGTCAAGTTATATTTTATGTACACTTATATCCATGCTTATGTAGGTACATTCCTAGTGAATTCATTACCAGCGTTAGTGTTGTTTAACTTAGGTGCGAGTTAATCTTTTATGTCCTCTTCATTTAACAGGGATTTTCATGTTGCTGTTGGATAATTGGATTAACCTCTGGAGGCCGCCATCACTGGTGACTGCACAGTTACAACCTCAGATGTTTACTGTGACTGTATACTAGATATTTTTGGAGTGGGATTTCTGGTAGACCTTAACCCTATTCCGATGAGAGATTTATGTGTGATCACAGGTATGGATTGGTTGAGTCGATTCAGAGATTTGATCGACTGTGAGTGTTAGCTTTTGGTAGTTTGTACCCTAAGTGGGGGGAGATTTGACCATATATAGGGAAGACATTAGAGTTGGTTCAACCTTCTGTTTGGGCGCCAAGGCTAGGTAGTATCTTCAGCATGGATGCTTAAGTTACCTTGCATATGTGATTGACACTCGAGAGGAGAATAAGAAGTCAGTTTATGATGTCCCGTGGTGAGGGAATTCCCAGATGATCTTTCAGGAGTGACCCCTATGAGGCAGGTGGAGTTTAGGATCAACCTGATCCCTGATGCTGCCCTGATTTTCAAGGCGCCATATGGCCTTGTGCCTCCTGAGGTGCAGGAGTTGTCATCATAACTTCAGAAATTGTTAGGCAATGTATTTATTCGACCTATTAGCTCGCCATGGAGAGCACTGATTCTTTTTTTCAAGAAGAAGGATGGATCACACCGGATACATATTGATTACCAGTAGTTGAACAAGTTGACGGTGAAGAACGGTTACCCGCTACCGATGATTGATAACTTTTTGACCGATAGCAGGTTGGTTCTCCACGATCAATTTGAGTTCAGGCTACTGTCAGATGAGGGTTTGGGAGGATGACATTCATAAGACGACTTTTCATACTCGTTATGGTCATTACGAGTTTGTGGTTAGGCCCTTTGGGCTCACCAACACACCAACGATATTCATGGATCTCATGAACCAAGTGTTAACACCCATGGTGGGTTATTCAATGATCGTTTTTATTGATGATATCTTGGTCTATTCTAAGACTAAGGAACAACATGAGGAGCACTTTTGCGAGATTCTAGGAGTCTGTGAACAGAGAGGTTATACGTCAAGTCGTCTTTGAAGCGACTCACTTTCTATGAGTTTAAAAAACAAATGAGGTGTGGGAGGTAGCGACACAGACAAATGGACATTTAAAGTTACATAATCGATTGAAGATGGCATTCAGATCGTGGTGGTGTATTATTCAAAACGGTGGTATCCGATTGCGATTTTAGGTTTTAGATCACAAAGTAAGACTCAATGGTTCACGTTGAAGAAGATGTGTGACATGATTCTCCATCGGTAATTGCATCAGGTTGCTAAAAATGATCAGATTGATGATGGTTTCACATTAAGCTGATTCGATATCAATTATCTATTGCAACTTTCCAATAAATGCTAGCAACGCTTTCACTTGTCATTTTTCAATTGATGAAAGCACTTAACGGTACAATTGGTGTTGTGAACTTGTCCTACCCTACGATGTCACAGAGTTAGCATTCGACACAATGGTAGTTTTTGGTGGGTAAGATTTAGAAGGAGATAGTGTACGTGGTGGTGTAATATGCAAACCCCATTATGCCCTTGGGGTATTTAATTCCATGTTCTGCAAGTGAAATTTGACTGTTACACCATTTTTAATCTAACATGTTATATTAACGATCCAAGAGCTATAAGTGGGTTATATGGTTAGTCAATATGATTTGGTTATATTTTGAACTTCTCTTTCTTTCTCTCTCTCTCTCTCTCTCTCTCTCTCTATATATATATATATATATATATATATATATATATATATCAAGGTTGTAAAAATCGCTTGGCGGTAGCTCGGCGGTCGATTGGGGTCAAGTGATTAATCGGTTTGGCGGAGATTAATCGGGGACCATAAATTACTAATAAAACTATATTAAAACTTAATATATCCTAAGAAAAAATAGTATTTGAAAATTTAAAATTTTTAAATTTTGAATTTTTGAAATATTTGGTAATAATATTTGAAAATTTGAATATTTAAAAATTTAAAGTTTTAAAGTTTTGGTATAATATTTGAAAATTTGAAAATTTGAATTTTTTAAAATCTTCCCGCCAAGGACCGCCTAACCCGAGTTTGACCGATATTGATCAATTTCCGCCTAGCACCCCTAATCGTAATCAGTTGCAAACCGCCTAGCGCCTAGGCGGCCGCCTAGACCGATTTTTACAACACTGGTTATAATATATATAATATATGTTGTGAGTTTGGATTTGTTATAATATATTATAATATTTGTTGTGATATTAATGAAGTTCAATTAAAAAAAATTAAATAAGATGGTTAGATTATTTAAAATAAACTTTGATGTTAACAAATTACAATGTTCAATGACTTTTATTTTTACAAAAAGAAAACTGAAAATATTAAATTTTCAAAACATAAAAAAACAGAAAATATTAAATTTTCAAAATCAAAGTTTAATTTCCCAAGTATCGAAAAAAACATCAGTTTGATTAAAAAAATCATAATTACATGGTTTTATAAAGAAATCTGGGACCAAATAGTAGGACTCTTTAGTAAAATGTATTGCCCATTTATTCCTAAATATTAAATATTCCAATACATTTGATTGTGCATGTATTATATTTTTAATTATGTATTCATGATGACAACTCCATTACACGTTTATATGACAAATTAGAGGTACAAAAAGGTCCCAAACCTTCAAGCTAGAATAGGATGGGCTAGCTTGTCGGGCATGGCTTGTGGGCTTATCTGGGGAATTATATTTAGGGTGTGCTTATGCTATACCTAAGCTTTTTTACAATCAGGTTTTTTGGGTCGGTTTGGATTTTGGCTATTAGATTTATTAAGCATGACATATAAAGATTTTTCAACATATATTAAAACATAAAAGCTTGCTTAGATATACATCAACCGACTGATAATGTTATATATACCATAATTAATCAAGAAACCAAGGAATCATTTTTTTTTTTCAATTTTTAAAACTTATATTTCATCAAAAAAAAAAAATAAATAAATAAATAAAAAAATAAAAATACAGAAATTCATAACTTTTTATCCTTTTTCCAATGATATAAAATTCATTTTTTTTTATGTCAAATTCACAATGTGAATCTTTGAGAATTCACACGGTGAATCCGAAAAATATTTTTCGCATTCACAATGTTAATATATGAATTTAGATATTTTTAGATTTTTTTTTTCGATAAAAAATAAGCTCTAGAAATTGAAAAAAAGATTTGGTTCTTTGAAGAACCAATAATTATGGTTCTCTATTGAACTTTTCTATATATATATATATATATATATATATATATATATGAAATCTAAGCAAGCTTTTATGTTTTAATATATATATATATATATATATATATATATATATATATATATAGAGAGAGAGAGAGAGAGGTAGGTTAAAATGTTTTCAGCAACTATTGTGTGCATTAATGCACAAATAGGAATTTAGGAAAAAAAATAAATCATTAATAATAAATATAAGGGTATAATAGTAATCTATACTATAGTTAATTATGGTAAATTGATACAATTAAATAATATCCCCTTTTAAATTAATATATCAGTTTTAAAACCTCACCCCCACCAGATTAGGGTTGTACGCTCCCTCTTCATCTCATAGAGTACCCACACACACATAGAGACCCGGTAGAACTACTCCACCCGCATAACAGGTAATGATCCACTTTCCGTCTTAGGTCTCCACACACAGAAAATTCCAGAAGGTAGAGCTTCTAATTCGTCGGCTTCTGATGATGAACACGAAGAAGATTCTTGTGGTTCATCAATGAACAGCTTCCGTAATGAAATGGTGATAGAATCAGAAGCATGAATCTCATTATCCTTTGATTTAACTTCATCCTTGATGAGAAGATCGCGATTGAAAAGAGGAAAAACAGTCCAGCCTTGCGAATCGTGTATAAAGATTTGTGCAGGAATCGGCTTCCAGGTATGCACTGTATTATCTTTTTTATTGTAAATTTAGTCACATTCATGTATTTATTAATTACATATGTTGTATGTTTCATCAAATGGAGTATAAAGATTTGTGCATCTGATTTGCCCGCCAAATGTTTGTTAAAATGCTTGAATCAAATATTTCAGCCATTATTTTTATTTTTATTTTTATTTTTTATTTTTTTGGTAATATTTGAGCTATCATATCTCTCTCATACTAGCTTGGAATGATATGAAATTTGTTTATGTGCATTATCCTTTGTGTTAGCTCCAAGTTAGGTTCAGAAGTCATTTAAATATGATTAATATTGGTTGAGTTATAGTCCTTCGAACAAGCGATGTTACAACTGTATTTTTAGCACTCTTTGTTCAGAAACATTTGTGATATTTGAACTATCATATTTACCATATTCTAACTTGTAATAAGTTGACTTTTTTCCAAAGTATTTTCCTCTGTGTTAGCTACAATGTGCATTATCCTTTGTGTTAGCTCCAAGTTAGGTTCAGAAGTCATTTAAATATGATTAATATTGGTTGAGTTATAGTCCTTCGAACAAGCGATGTTACAACTGTATTTTTAGCACTCTTTGTTCAGAAACATTTGTGATATTTGAACTATCATATTTACCATATTCTAACTTGTAATAAGTTGACTTTTTTCCAAAGTATTTTCCTCTGTGTTAGCTACAATGTAGTCATTGTAATTAGATTAAGTCGATAATTTGGATCAGATGACTCGGGAATACTTGATCAAGTGACTCGAGTACATTCTGTTAGAATAAATTAAAAGTCTTTAATGTCTAACACATTATGTTAGAATTATAGTTTTATTCTGTTAGAATATACTGAAAGTTATACTATTTTTAAGTTGATTATGTTTTTTTTTTTTTAATTTAGGTTTTGAAGAGGCTGCCATTGATGTGGAAAATGAAGAAAACATGGAGCACGAGAGTATTCTACCAGAATGTTATTATTTTCTAAGAATGTTATTCACTTTTGTTGATATTCTTTTAGAATATTTATAACTATATTAAAATGTATAAGACTTTTAGTTTGTAAGAATATGTATGAATTTTTATTTTAGTTCGGATGTATAAGAATATATTAGAATGTTTGTTATTTTTCAACATCTGATTCAAGAATTTTGTTTTTCTTAAATAATATTCTATTAGAATAAAATTCTGAAAGAGCATCATTCTAACAAAAAATATTCTAGTAGAATAGAATCGGTAAAAAATTAAATTGAATTAATTAAAAAATTCAGATTTTTTTTTTTTAAATTAGGAGAATTAATCATCCTTAAAAATATGAAAATTTCCTTTTATAAATGTAGTTATTTGTCCAAAATACTCTTTTGTTAAAAATTGTGTGATTATATGGTACATGTTACCCCATTGTAATATCATACACTCTCAAATCATGTCCATTTATTAATTTCATCCGTTGGTCGAGATCTGTGCATTCTGGCACACAATACTTAGTAAAAACAAAATAACCTAAGCATATATATATATATATATATATATATATATATATATATATATATATATATATATATATATATATATATATATATATATATATATATCATGGTTGTAAAAATCGCTCGACGGTTGCTCGGCGTCAAACGATTAATCGATTTGGCGGGGATTAATCGGGGATTAATCAGAGACCCTAAATTACTAATAAAAATATTTTAAAATTTAATACATCCTAAGATAATTAGTATTTGAATATTTAAAATTTTGAAAATTTGAAACTTTTAAATATTTGGTATAATATTTGAAATTTTCAATATTTAAAAATTAAAAAATTTAAAATTTTGTTAATTTTTGTGTAATATTTGAAATTTTGAAAATTTGAAACTTTGAAAAATTTCCCGCCTAGGAGCTTCAAGGACCGCCGAAGACCGCCGAGACCGAGTATAACCAATTTGCGCCAAACACCCCTAATCGTAATCAGTTGCAGACCGCCAAGCGCCTAGGTGCCGCCTAGGCCGATATTTACAACACTGATATATATATATATATATATATATATATATATATATATATATATATATATATATATATATATATATATATATATATATATATATATATATATATATATCATTTAGTGTTTTTTTTTTCAAATTTTTTCAAAACCAGAGCAACAATGAAACTTTAATACCGACGTTAAAAATAATTGCAACTTGAAAACATCTAAAAAAACATAGAAAATATAAATGAGCATGCATGGACATTTAGATGTGTATATATGCACATTTCCAAAAAAAAAAAATATGTGAAATATTTTATTAGAACATGGATCTCTTTTAGATGCGGTTATAAGAGGCCTATATTGCTTTGATTTTGAAAAGGGATAAGCGAACTAAAAGTTCTTGAGTTCTTGCACAATTTTAAGTTATCAAATTAACTTTTATATATATATATATATATATATATATATATATATATATATATATATATATATATATATATATATATATATCACGATCGGTGATACTTCAATTAATATCTAAAAACTATTCGTATAATATTTAAATTAACAAGAGTAAAAAAAATAATAATACACATGTGTAGAGAAGCACAAAACCCGAATCCGATCCAATCCGATCCAGTTTCAATGACGTCATCAACAATCTGGTTTAGACAAAATCCAGTTCCTGATTCGGGGGAGAATCCGTTTTCTTGTCTAAAATACCAAACCAGTTTGACTCCGGTCTCCGATTTAATTTGGTCTGGTTTGTTCAAAATCGGTTTTGACCAAAACCATTTTTCGAATCGAATCGGTTTTTGACGGTGAATTTGATTTCGCTATGCATCTCTCTCTATATACAACAAAAATTAAAGGGCTAGAGACCATATAATTTAAAATCTATAGTTTGGAAAATTTATAAAATAAAAGGTCTAATAAAAAAAATTTAATTAAAATGTGAAATATAATTGGCCGTTAATTCATCTATTTTAATATGTATTAAAATATTGATAGGAAGTCATTACATGTCATATGTGTGCCATTAAAAAAACCCCGCGCATGAGACGGTTATGATAAAATATTTAATCCGAATTCCCAAAGCCCTAACGACCAACGGTTAATAGCAACTCTATAACTAGTCAATAGCAAATAGACGATCTCTTCAAGACTCACTGATAGATTCAAGATTAGAGAGAGGGTTCAAAATTCTAGAGAGAGAGAGAGAAAGGGAGTTGTACGCGAACGCAAAATGGAAACTTGCCAGAAACATTATTTGCCGGAGATGGTAGCGACGGGGAATCGTCTTCCACCGCCCGATCAGAATTATCAGAGATAAAGCAACACCTGAAGATGCTCAACGTCCCTCTGTGCAGAAGAGACGCTCGTGAGCAGCTACTGAACGAGGTATGTTATAATGTGATCCATCTCCATCGCTCCATGTTTATTGTTGTTCTTAATTAATTCTCTTGCGGATCGTGTCTTCACTCTCCATCGTAACTTTTTTCAAACTTCATTAAGTAATTTTTTGCATGAAGTCTACATTATTGTCTTCTTTTCCAATTTCTTAAGTAATCTAATCAATCAGCGTGTTTTTTCATCCGGAAAATAGGGTTAATGGTAGTCTCTTACATAGCTTGAATTAAAACCCCTATAATATATTAAAAAGTAATTCATACATTTGTTGGTGTATGCACGTTTATTTACTTCAATGTTTAGTTGTTTAGAGTCTCTGAATAAATCAAAGTCACGTGGGCTTGATAGTTCTAGTGTTTAGCTAGTGGTAGAAGTAGTTGCTATTTTTATGCTAAACTTTTGTTTTAAATAGCTTGGCAATGTACGAGGTTCAGTACCTTCTTTTCCTTCCCTGTTTATGAATAACAAGAATTCATCTTTCTTCCCTATGTATATTGTTTTCCTATCCCATTTCAGGTTCAGTACCTTCTTTTCCTTCCCTGTTTATGAATAACAAGAATTCATCTTTCTTCCCTATGTATATTGTTTTCCTATCCCATTTCTCTTTTAAACTTTACCCACTTGGATACTCCAATTATGTCCCCTGTTGCTTTACTTTCTGTGTAAAGACACTAATACCCTTGTAAAAGGCCAACATTTGGTATTAGAGCATAACCTTGTGTATGAAAAAGTACCAACCACGTAAAGAGATGACATGGAACAATGTAAATGGTTAGAAAGATGGTATGATCACTCTTCATTACCCGATGTTGTCAAGAAGTAACTACTCTACATGGCCCATAAAAATGAGGGTCTTCATGCAAGCCCAAGGAGTACAAGATGCAGTGGAACCCAGAGCATCCAACACCATTGTAGAAGTCAATAAGGGTAAGATGGCCTTAGCAGCAATCTATCAAGGCATACTTGAGGACCTATTGCTTTCATTGGCTAAGAAGAAAACAACCAAAAGAAGCATGGGAAGCTTTGAAGATCATGTTCTTAGGAGCAAATATAGTGAAGACAACAAGAATTCTGACTTTAAAAGCAGAATTTGAAGCCCTCAAGATGAAGGAGTCAGAAAGTGTAGATGATTTCACTGTGAATGTGAACAATGTAGTAAGCACCATGCGTGCTTTGGGTGACACCATGGAAGAAGAATATGTAGTGAAGAAGCTACTAAGAGCGGTTCCATCCAAGTTCCTCCAGATTGCTTCTACACTGGAACAATTTGGAGATTTGACTGTGATGAAAATTGTAGAAGTGGTGGGAAGATTGAAGGCCGATGAAGAACGCATGAAAGGGCATGGTGAAATTGATGAGAAGAAACTTCTATTGACCCACCAGGAATGGTCCGAAAGAAATAAGAAGAAGGCTGAAGATGAATCTAAGCACACTCACAAAGGAAACCGTGGTGGGTTTGGAGGCTCACGAGGATGGGGTAGAGGTCATAGCAGGGGCGACAATTATGGTGGTCGTGGCAGAACCGGATCACACCAAGAGAAAGAAGAAAAACGGGGTCAATCTAGCAGCCAAGAAAAAAGTGGAGTGCAGTGCTACAATTTCCAGGAGTTTGGTCACTATGCTGATGAATGCAAGAATCCACGGCGTGAAAGAAATCAAGTGAATAACTTGATTCAAGAACAGTTCGACAACGAACCAACACTATTATTGGCGTCTTTTGATAAAACTGTAGCAACTGGTTAAGTATTCTTGAATGAAGAAAACTTAAATCCACCATTGAAGACAAAAGGTGATATAGTGCAACTATCAAAGATGTGGTACCTGGATACAGGGGCCATCAACCACATGACTGGGGACAAGTGCAAGTTTAGATAGCTTGATAAAAAGATTCAAGGCTATGAAAAGTTTGGGAATGAGTCCAAAGTCAGGATTGAAGGCAAGGGCAAGATTGTCTTTCAACGTAAAAATGGAGAATACCTCAAACTTGAAGAGGTTTATTATATCCCAGACTTATTGAACAACATAATAATTCTGGGACAGCTAGCAGAAGGTGGATATAAGATCAGATTAAAGACCCATTTTTATGGGTACATGATGCTTCAGGAAGGCTGTTGATGAAGG